TTCGCTCTCATCAGGGTCGTTTCAAGACTTGCCAGTCAATGCTCTGTACACTACCACAGACAAAGTTAGTGAAAGTTTGGTCAAAATATACTGGAGCGTTTGGCTACTAACAGTCTGCCCTGTGTCAGCCGAATATGTGGCCAGGCAACTGCGCATGTATTATTATTTTCACTTAAGTTTGATTCATATTAAATTTTTCTATGGACCCCAGGTAGAATAGCTGCTGTGCTTCAACAGTCCGCCCACCCCCCCACCAAATAAAAAAAAAACAGTGTATGAGGAAGAGGAGATTTAACGTAAGAAAACCTTTTGTTATTTCCTATTTGTGCCAAAATTATTTACAGCTGTACAATCTAGTCAACAACTAGGATTTCCTTTGCTTTGTAAGCTTTTGTTAGTTTTTCACAGCCTCCCTTGCAGCGCATTGTAATTTAAGTTTTTCACATGGACCCAGAAAAGCCTCTGGCCCTCAATTCAGAGAAAAACATTTGTGTCATTGTCCACTGAAATAAACCCTGTAAGACAGAGAACGTGGAGAAGAGAGGGCGACAAAGGTGAAGGAAAATAAAGCCATTTGTAAAGTGCACTTCCCTTCACTCGTCCTCTCTCCATTTTTCTTTCTCTTGGTTTCTGGCAGACAGTATTGCACAGCTTTCATCAACAGGAAGTGGGACTATTCTATTCAGAGAGGGAAATATGCAATCCATCCTACTATTCATTATATTCTTTCTATCCACTTCTGTTTTCATCTGCTTGTTTCTGTTTGCAAACTTCCAATCCCACCAGGGAGGCTTTCCAGTTCTCTTCCTTCTCAGCCGAAAGAATTGAGACACTTGACTGAATGTTTGTTATGCTTCTTTTGTCAGCTGTTTTCAAAGCTTTCCAATCCAAGTCAGGTCACAAATCTCCATCAGCAAATTGCAAGTTAGGATGCAGGTCATTCAGGTCTCTGGATGATGACCAGTACAGTGATGCAGCATTTATAACCTTTCAATAAAGGAATAAAAATATATACCAAGCTTTTCGTTTTAATTCACTACCTCACATTATTTAATTGTATGGATTTTTGCAGGGCAAATCTTTTCTTTCACTTCAAAGTCTTAGGTCTCAGGTCCACTCTGTGTTTATGTGTACTTGCGCGTCTGTTTGCCAGCGTGTCGCAAGCCTTACGCATTTATCTTGTGTGAACTCTTCTTACCCATCTCATCACTTGATCCAAATAGCCTATATTTTCATCGCCGGAAACAAATGAAAACAAGATCCGTGGCATCTTCAATTTCTAGAATGAGCCCATTACTGTTGGTGCACACTGAGCGAGGGACATGTCTAATTAACTTTTCGAGTGGCTCCCAGGTAAGAGAAAATGCATCTTATTCACGTTCATCCTCTGTTTATGAGACCACTCAATCCTAAGATATCAGCTCCACATGCCCCTAGACTGCTACACTGCAGTGCTGGATGCCATGTGGTAAAGTGTCCAAATGGGTTAAAAAAATATACCCACCTAAGTAGCTACCGCAGCAGGAAGAAAGATGGTCTGAATCAGAACGTGGAGATGAAAGTGTTGGAGAATGAATCATTGGGACCCTTGTCCTGGAAGGAGAGGGTGGGAAAATATAAGATAAATGAGCAGTACCGGCTACATGAATCTCTCTCACTGCACAACATACATTTGAGGGATATGCTGGTTTCTTTAATGGGTGTGCTTGAAGATGTGACTGCTTTACAGTAGCTCTCCATTAGTTCCCTCTTCAGGGGTCAGTTATTGGGTCAGATATTTTTCAACCAAAGCATGCTCCACAGTGTGTTCTGTTAAGAGCCTTTCATGCACGAATTGCAGGCTATATATATATATATACATACATACATACATACATACACACACACACACACACACACACACACACACACACAATATAAATAAATAGTCTTGGTTCAGGATTACACATTCAAGACAATCTTTTCCGTGCAATCTCAGCAGACCCCTGGATGTCATCATTTGCAGCAGCTCAATATCTGTTAGCAGTAATTGTGTGAAATGAAAAATAAACTAAACAATCATGGCAGTGTAATGAGCGGGCCTCCCAGCTACAATACCAGTTCTTAATAATGTGTTGACAGGATGTGTTAATGTGCCTTCAACACCCTTAACAAAAGCTGGTCCATCGATACCGCAACATGGCAAGAAGGACAAAATCCCTTTTAGCACTGTGAAATTCAGTAGGAAAGACTGTTACCCCTGAGGCAGTGATAAATTAAATTTTCTGTAACATTTCAGTGAGTGCCTTATTCATTATGCTGATAGACCTACTGAAAGAAAGAAATGACCTGATGGCAATGACCAGAGGTAACACCTTTGTTTCACTCACTGAATCAATAGGTGAGGCTTTATAGTTTGTTTCACAGCTTACACCAGCATTTTCATCATTGCAATATCTCTTTAGAAAATACCATGATTTCTGACCTTTCCCTAAGGCAATGCTTTTTTCTGTAAAACATTTGTTCTCATTCTAGACATAATGAGTACATTAGGGTCCAGTTAAATCTATATAATATATTATGTTAACCCCCCTGATGGCAACACATGCCTAATGGAGAAATACAGTATATTGCCTATAGAATTTTGTGGAGCCGAGCACAGTCAACATCACCTAAAAAGGTATCAAAATGCTTTTGACCAATCACACAGAGAAGGTAAAAGCTTAATCAAAAGGCTCTTTTGGAGGGGAAAAGCCTAAAACTCATGACAATGACAAATTTCACAAAGGCATCTCACAAAACAAGAGATTGATTTATGAATGTATATAGTGATTACATGTTGGGGGGGGGGGGGGGGGGGGTTAAAAAACAGCTGCCCAAGGAGAAATTGAGCGAGGAAAGTAGTTCTGATAGAAATAGGCTGTGTTTCTTCAATGAATTCTTAAAACTGAAGCCTAGAGGTTGTCCAAGTCAAAATTACTGCACTCTGTCAAGGGCAAGGGCACAAATCAAAGAGTAATGGCTTAGCACCAACTTTGGTGTTCCTCTGCCAGAGTGGATTGATTGATTTATTATATACCATAAAAGTTTAATGGGATTTCAGCAGGCCTAATATATAAAAGGATGGCTGCGCGACTGAGTCGATGTGCTTTGGTCCTTCCTTTATGGCTCTCCGGTCTCTGTAGCATCCTGAGACAGGATTACTGGGCAGGAAGCTGCCAAACAAACAGCTGAGTGGACACAATGTTTCATGGTTTGGAGTTTGATTCACTGGCTGAGGCGCATTAAATCACGTAGAGTATCACATTTAGGCAAACATAAGCACACCTTTTATGTTGTAGCGTCTCTGCCATGAGCACCCTTAGCAGAGACGTTTGCATTGCTTTTCTCCATTACAGTGCTTAGCAGTGTAATTTAGTTGTTTAGTGTTTAGTGTAAGTTCACATCTTAGGGTCAAAAATTCCACTTAAATCACTATTAGTCCCAGGTTTACTTCTGCAACTCCTAAACCTTTTCATGTGTCAGTAAACTTTTTTTCCCTGAGCTTTTGTCAAATGAAAAAAAGAGCTGCTCCTGTTTAACCTTCTTCTATTGGATTGAACCACTTTTCCTCATATGTGACAGACAGTTTAGCTACAAAATGTCTTTGAGGCAGAAAGCAAGAATAGGAGTATAGTGGTAGTTAATAGTTCACAAAATCACTGTAAAACTATTGGCAACACTCCAGTCATAAAGTGCAGATCACTCGGCTGTAACAAAGTTGTCAGTGAACACGTAGGCCCATCACTGTATTGCGCAGTGGATAAACAAGCTCTCATTGTACCTGTAAACTTCAACCCTGTACACGGTACATACTTTAAATATGTCACATGTAAACCTGATTCTGATTGTTGTAAATCTGTTGTAAATATTTTGCACTCACTGCACAAACTGCCATACTGCACATATTCTTTATTACCATTCTCTTAAAAATGTATACCATGTCAATTTAATATTTTAATCTTTATATTTTATTTTTGTTGTGATGCAGCAAGTCACCAAAGCAAATTCCTTATATGTGTAAATGTACTTGGCTGATTCTATTGTTGCTCATAGATGTATTTTCACTTTTTATTTTGAGTGCCGAGTCATGAGAAAAACTGTAGAGGTTTAAAAAACAAATTATTTGTCCTGGGATAGACTTGTCAAATATAATCTGTGTGCAAACTTAATAGCAACAAGTAGAAGAGCCTGGATGTCCGGGATGTTCATAGATGCCAAATGCCGCTAGTATTGGAGGATGACCACTGCTTAATGAGCACATTGTGGAGTTTGCTTTTCAAACAGTTCTGTTTTCTGCACATTTTATATTTGTAAAGCCTTTCTTTGATGCTTTGTAAGCTTCATTCTTTACATTGCCTTGCTACCATCTTCTTTGTCTTTTTTACTGGTGCATTCCTACCTTAGCATAGAGGCAGTAATGCACTGAAAATGATGAGCATACTTTTGTGCTACAATTTCACGGTTGTCACAACATCGACAATGGTTTGAAGGTGCAAATATATTTTGAATGAATGTATCTTTTATAGACAGCAGTGTTGCAACATATTGGTCAGCCATTTCTAAATTCTTCTGAGGCTGTCTTTGGCAATTCTTTACACAATTGTTTTTCTGTCTGGCCTGACTCCGGATGTGCTTCATTTACATTCAGAGGCAGGCAGTCCCAATTTAACCTAAGGCTCGGTGGTCTAGTAAATGCAAGACTTGTTTTCTCAGAATTGTATTACATTTAGAATACATAAAACAGAGTGGATGCATGAGCATATAATCATTGTGTTTTAGATGACTCCTCAGGACATTTGTGCACTTGAAAGCATCTGATCATTGTGGCTGGTTTCTGTTGCATACTTACAGTATGTATTCACACTACAGCTGGATTGATGTTTCATTGCTATCACAGTTAATAAGAAAAAGTTAAGCCGTTCTGTTACAAAAGCATGAGCAAGGTTTGATGCGATTGTGAAAAGGGAACGACAACACAATACATTTTTCTGCATTGCAAAATGTTCAGTGTTGTATTTTCATTGTGCCCCAACATGTAGAGAGGAGTCTCATTTCTAGAAATGACAGCACAGACAACATTACAATATCCAGCTACTACTACTGCAAGGCAACACATTCACATATTCTGTGAAAACAGCTGGCATGAGTGCACTTATCTTTAGCCCTGTTTCCATAATGCATTCACCAGTAGGGTGGATTTTCGTGAAGTTTGTAAGCAGGAGGCGCAAACTAATATTTTAGATGTTTCTTTAAAAGTCACAATACTCTGGTACATGGATCAACAATGCAGCAGCTTTTTTATAATAATATTAGAAACTACACCATTCCTGACAGCATGCTAGAGTCTATACAGCTGCATTGCCTGGTGATTCTCTGCTGCAGAATCTGCAATTTTTTCAGTTGAATTAAATATTTCATATGGGTGTCGAGTAGGTGTAAGCCAAACACCCTTACAGGATAAAGCAGGTGTCAAAAAGGAAAACCTAAAATGTGACCCACAAACCTTTACAGAAATGTATACATAATAAAAGGGTTATTAGCTATACATAAATACTGACTGCAATATGCCAACAAGGCTGAAATTACTGATAAACACTCAAAGAAAAAAAGAATCTGCTAATCTATGCAGTAATTACACTCTGAAAGGGTAGCCTCTGTTTTTCTATTTGTGTGCCCACATTTATAGCATCATTGGGACAATGGATAGAAAATTATATTGAGAGGATGAAAGGCAGCAGGCATTAACAACAAGCCAGCAAAAACAATGATCAAACAGATGTTCAACAGCATCACTTCTTCAGCATCTGTGTTTCCATAGTTGCAGTTATGTAAAGCGAGCTCGCATTTACATTTTGTTGTCTTGATCGCTACCTGCTTCATGGTATTACAATACTCTTCAAAAGAAATTTTCTTTAGTACTAAAAATAAATACAGGAATAACAACAGTAATATCATCCAACCTCTGGGCTTTTAGATTCACTTGGGTATCGAAAAACACCAATCTACAACATGGCGATGGCTACACCAGAGTCATAGCGTCCCTTAATCTGAGTTATTCTGGCAGCTACCATCAGCAGCAGACCAGTGGCCACCTCCAGGCTGTAGGAGAGCCAGGCTGTGGCTAAAGACCAGCCAAAGGAAACATCCACATTGGCAAGGTTCTCCGGGGACACGATACGCTGGAACTCCTCCATGGCCTGGTTCGAGTATTTGATGTAGATGCTGACCCCAGTCAGGGTGAAAAGACCTGTTGGTGCACATAAACAGACAGATGGCACCATTGGAAATACATAACTGCCCAGATTTTCACACACGCTGTAACATGGACATAGATCCTTCTTGAAGATTTGGAATGAATTCTCCAGACACAAGACCCTTGAGCTGCCTAAAACATCATGGTGTTGTATGAAACATAACCAGTTTATACAATGAGGCTATTGATGTAATAGTGAATGAATTAGCAAAAAATATTTTTTTCCCCCAACTTTGCTTTCACATAACTCAATGGATGGCATTAGACAACATAGACTTGTTAGCCCATTAATGAGGAACAGTGCAATCTTGAAGCATTTCAGATTTAAATGTTTCTCATTCATGTGCAAATTATTCCAGCAAGGTGATTCTAAATTTAATCAGAGCATTTACACTATGACCTGTGACATAACTTTCTATTTCTTGTATTCCCAAACAGACAAATCGGATCAAACATCTCGCATAATAATTACCACAGGAGTGGGCCGAAAGGAATAACACATCACTGAATGTCAACCCCCAAAACACACTTAAATACCGAGTAGTCACCTCTACAAGTATATTTCAGACTGACCTTTTGTATGGCACCATAGAAGGCAGAACCACTACACACTTAACTACTGTCTGCTGCATTTAACCATTCTTAATTACTTGTGGGCTCGTCTCTCAATGTCCGTCAAGCAGTGTGCCTAATTTGCATGTAGGCACACACACCAGAGCAGAAAGAAAGAAAGAAAGAAATACAAAATGTTAAGTACAAATGTCATGAACAGTGCTGAAGGAGGCACAGCGGGTTCTTCGGCAGACCACCCTTTTGTGGCCAGGCGGACCAATCATTTTTATACAAGACTTCAATTCAGGCTTAAATGTGCTCAATTACAGTCATAATTGTGGTCTGCTGGGGAAGAAATTGGAGAAATTACTGACACTGATTCGTACCAGTTCTCTCCTCCCACATGGTCAAGATTTTACCTTTCGTTCTAATCTACATCCATTTTGTTTGTGTAGTCTCCTGTGCATAATGTGACTTTTATAGTTCCATTGCACTTTATGGGTAGTCTGAGCTGCTACTGCACCAATACCACACTATGGATTTGCTGAACATCTATTGTGCTCACTGAGAAAAGCGATACAGATTTGACCATTTTAATGGCATGAAGGCAGCTTTTTAAAAACAACCTTGAGTTGCAGAGTTAAAGCTGAGGAAGAAGTAAAAATTGTCCAAGGTGGAAATGTCAGTTTGGCCAGATGTGATATCTGAGGCCTGTCCAAATTCCAGTCCAATCAGTGCTGTTGTACGTGATGTGCGTTCAGATGGGATTTCAAAGACCTATTGGCACATTGCTCAATGTGAAACTTTGTCACTAGCATGGCTAACAAATGTGTTCACAAACTCAGTAATCCATCAAATGTCAGGGCTGCGCATCACAATTACATTTCAGGAAGATGTTTGTTGATGATTTGACTGTCCAAGATTATTGGAATGATATTCTGTGTAATAGGCCACTATATAAGTAACTACCTATTTGATCATCCTCAGATTCTACAAGAAAGACATTGTTGTTTATATTGTATTTAAAACAGACTGAAATCAACGATAAGATCGTCTGCTATTATGTGCCACTCCATCACTATCAGCAATCACTCCAAATGCTGTTAATTATGTCCATATCCACAGTGAGAATGTTTGGTGGTTTGGTGTCTAAAATCATGTTCAGGCTCATCTGCTTGCAATTATGATTTATTTTATGCAATCTGATTGGTAAGAAAAAAAACTGTCCCCAGTAAATCATTACCTCAAACTTTATTTCCACACGTTTGGAGTGTATGGAAAAGGTCTTCAAATCTGTGATTCAGCATATACAGTAGGAGTCCCTGTCAGAGGAGCACAAACATCTCTCACAGTACTACCATAACTGCATCTAAATGTCTTGAGTCAATCACCCGGTGTCTATTCACAAAATCTGACAAAAAGAGCGAATAAAGAGATGGAAGTCTTGCATAGTGCTTTTTTTCTCCTTATTTCCTTCCCCATCTCCACCTACTCTAATAACAAATAGCAAAAAGATACCTAACTCAACTCAGTTAAGTCAAATGGTATTTTGAATGTCCACACAGAGATATAAATGCACTCACAGATTCTACTTTTAACAATCTTCTCCACACAACTGCAAGATATAACATTTACACTAATCACTGTTTTCTCATTGGCCTTCAGTGTGCTCCAGTATACTTCTAATGTCTAAGATGGCTAAAGGTCAGAGGTCAGTGGGAGCAGTTGAAATTGCATATTCAAGAGTTAACACAAACAAAGACACCTACATGTGCAGGATGTGCCGCCTAAACACTATTCTTGCGCTGGACATCTTACACACTGACATGAGCAGGCAGAGGATTTGCTTCCAACCAGTCTACATGTCAAGCACACATAATTGCTGCAGGCTTTGAAAAAAAAAATGAAAATAATAAATGATCTGTGGACTTACTGCAGAAGAGAAAGTAGGATGCTGATCCAACCAGCAAGTTAGGACTGCTGGCCAATGAACTGACGAGTCCAAAGATCCAGCCAAACACCAGCAGGACCAGGCTGAGGGGCAACATGATGACCACGACCTTATGCAAGCCTGTAAACACACATATGCAACAATGTGTTACAGTGCCTGATCTACAAGTCAGCTGCATTTTTAGAGCTGGGGTATCTTTGGAGAACTAGCAAACGATTGCTAGATTTTGAAAGCATCTGACCAGAAAAAATACCCACCCCACCCCCTTCCCTTCAACAGTCAGTCCCCCAAACACATTTTCATGGGCAGTGAGTACACGGGCAAAGTTCGCGCAGCAAGGCACGTCGATAGGTAGACTGGCAGATATAATAGTTTATTACAGTCCTGCAACAGCCACAGATATCAATGTTTTTTATTTTGTCAGAGCATTTGATTTATTGATTGCTGTATGTAAAGAGAATGTCAACAAACATCACAAAATGCTTCTAAAATAAATTGCCTACTCCAGCTTTAAATAACTACTAAGTGCAACCATTTGCAATAGCTTTTCAAATTGATTGATCATCCAGGGAACCACTGGTTTCTATTTTCATGATTAGTAGGGTATGAAAATCAACTTGCAGAGTGTTCTCTGTCACAGTGGACAATTTATTACTGTATTTCATTGTCAAAATTCCAGACAGGAACTGTTTCAGAGAACACATTATCGTTTGCAAAATGTTCATATTTGCTTACTGTAGGTCCTCTGGGTTAAACTTTCTGACCAGTCGAGCATCTAAGGGATGTGCTGACTTTCTTCATACTATCGCTTGTACATGTTATTACTTCAACAGCCAACACACCTACCAATTACTTTTGTCAGGATTCATTGACTTTGTTTTTATTTTAAATCAAACTCATTAACACCTCACTATGACAGTTGATAAATAAAACCACTCACCAAGAAGGTGCCTATCCGCCTCTGACAGGCTGGACATATTTGCTGTGAAAGAAGGGATGACTGAGCTCCTGTTTGTGCCTGAAAATGTCAAGGGAAAAGGTCACACATGACAGGACATGTGGACAGAGCTGTAGGACTTTGCAAAATTCCTGCTGGATAACAATGTCAGTTTTTATCCTAGAGTTGCACAAATAATTATACTCAGAGATAGGCTGTAACACATTGCATGACTAAATGCATCAAACCTTTTATTACACCTCTGTGTGACACATTTCACCAGCCCTGCATGCCTGACAGTTTTGTGTCAGTGCATGTTCCACTTTTGCAGATATGTCACAGGTGAGCATAGCTTGAAGAGCTTCAATCATTGTCTCATTATTTAGCATTCACTTTGAGGACTCTGGGCGCCACCAGCAACAAATTGGACACCACTGTGAGCCCAAGCAGTGCAGCCAGCGAGCAGAAAAAGAACCTTTAGAATCTCTCTGCAACCTCCTGCGTGTTCCTCAGCAGCTGCCTGCAGGGGCTGAGACAGATGTGAGAGGTTACAGTTCCTACAGTTATATAGGCTACAACAAAAGAAACTAAACTGTGAATATGAGGTTTGGGCTCTATGATATTATTCCTGTATGGTTCATTATACTGGTTGAATAAAAAGTGAAATGTTAAGAATCTTATTCAGTAATTAATAATTCAGCACAGTCTTTGTAATTTATTTCTCCAAGCTAAACGCACTGGCATGTCACCTCCTCTGTGCACCACTGTCACAAAAATGAGTTTTTGCGCCAGAGTTCTCTGCCGCCCTGACATTGCCGAGGAATAAACCAAACCAAACTAGCATCTGCGTGGACAATAAACATGGTAATGCAGCAACATCAGACACCCGTGATAACCCACTGTAACAATGTAAAGACTATGTTGCATCACATAACTCACAGTTCAACACCATCAATACTGTTATTTGCACGCCTGATGAAACATAAACAAATTCAAAATAGCCTAATAAACCTTGTGATTGAACCCGTCAATACTTTTTACGCCCAACAGTATGTATGCCACACGATAAAGCCTTAACTTATCTTCTGAAGAAAATCTCACACAAACTACAAACTATAATATGTAGGCTTGAATTGAATTGGTATACCTTCATTAATTCTCCACAGTCCAGAATGTGAACTCAGGTCGTCTGGACCTGTGTGGTTGGGTTGCTTCACATCGATGATGTACCAGTAATCAGTCCCAATAGCCACAGCGAGGAGGGTAAAACTGAGCAAACCTGTAAACCCAGCAGTAAGGACAACCAATCCGTACCTCATTATATACGGTCCACACGCAGAGCGTAGTTACTCTAATGTTCTGAGCAGTTTTTTAAAACCCTTTTTCTACAGCATAATCTGTATCAACGCTCCAAGAGGTGCGATGCGTAAAAGCACTCCAGCTGATTCCATCCCTGTAAAGTGCTGGTTCTCCATGGCTACCACGGTCTTAAATTGTTCCCGTTTACTTTGAAAGAAAAAAACTGAGAAGAGAGATGCGTCCTTCTTTGCATCAGCTTATAACACCGTCAGGTAAATGGGGGCTTAAGGCGGCAGCGGCGCTCCTGGATTGATCCACGGAGTCAAGTTAAGAGGGATAAAACGCCACACTTCTGGTGCGGAATTCCAAAATAAACTCCACGACCCGGACACACGTGTTGTGAAGGTGCTAAAAATGTATTTTTGTGGTACAAAAGAGCCCACATCCGGCCACAGTTTAGTTATCTGGTTTTGACTTGATTACAAAAACGCAATTGTAGCCAATTTTTTTCCCAATAGCAATAGTGGCTGCTTTTGTGACCAGACATATACCGACTCCATCCGTTTACAGTATGGTAGCCTAAATTAAAAGGCAGCCTATGTGAGGTAACTAAAAATCAAGATTTAAGGTTGTACTCTAGTCTATTGTAGTTCATGATACATGTGTTTTATTGTATCTTCAGATACTCATTTTATCTTGTGTTCTATTGTAACTTAGGCTATTGTAGCCTACTTGTATACTTTTTTCATTTCCTTTTTTCCTCACTGTTTAATAATGTTGTATTTCTTTAAAATCCCTTCTAGGGACGTGCGTTGCAAATTAGCTAAGATAAAATACTGTTACAAACACAGTGGATTGCTGTTTTCAGTTTATCTATGTAAGCTGTAAAACACATTGCTCCATACCGCTAGCAAATACATAAATCCTCTCCAGCTTATGAGATAGGTTTAATTACATTTAAGAAGCTCTGTTGGCATCCTAATTAGAATAGGCCTACTTAGGCCTACCTGTGCTTTATGACCAGGCACTTTGTCACCTGTTATACCGGAGGGGACCTGCAGATGGGGCAGCTTTAGTGACGTGTGCAAAAATCCAGCACAAGGCAAGACGGCGTAGTGTTGTGTTGGTAGCCAACTGCTTTGTAAGCCGAAGGGGACGTTATAGCTACGACGTTTAAAAGTAGGGCTGTTAATGCTATGTGAGAAACAATAACGTAAAAGTGTGGGCACCTGTTTAACGAGCTAACTTTAGCGGTCTCCGAGGTAAGTTCGGTGTTTTAACTGAACCCTTAATTATCTCTGTGATTAGGCTGTATTTTGTCACGGAGGTGGTCTTAATGTCAAACATATCTACAGATTGTTGTAAAAACTAAGTTCAGCTATTAACTATAGCCTACATCAGCACATCATGCACCCCTTTCAAGCCAATATGCACACTTAGTAGAGACACCTTTGGCAACAGTTACAGCCTGGAGACTGTGTGGATAGGTCTATGTCACATATGGACGAAACGCCCCCCCCCTTCTAGTAAAACTGCCCAAGCTCGGTCAAGTGCCATGGGGACCATGAGTGAAAAGCAATTTTCGAGTCCTGCCACAAATCCTCAATTGGACAGAGGTTTCTGACTTGCCCACTTCCTTACTCTAGGATATTTTAAAGCCATTCTTGTGTAGCTTTATTGTAGTACGCAGGGAGTTGTCTTGCTTGAAAATAAATCTACCAAACTCTTGCAGAATGACAACAGGCTTTCCCTGTCCTCTGTAGCCTATTCACCAGGAAATGTAGCCATAGCTGTGTTTTCAGTGTTGTGAAAAAAGGGGGAAACACACACACGCTGGGGGAGATTAACATATATGCCTTTAATGATAAAGTTCAGTGTAATTGCACACTTGTGGGTGTTATTCTTTTTCATGTAAGTAAGTATTGATGCAAGCATTCAAATCCCACAGCCCTCTGATTACTGACATGGAAAGTAAAACTAACAAAGTATCAGCTGTAGCATTATGACAGGTGAAGTGAATAACACTGATTTTCTTAGCATGGCACCTGTCAGTGGGTGGGATACATTAAGCAGCAAGTGAAGATGTAGTCCTCTAAGTTGATGTGTAGAAGCAGGAAAAATGTGCAAGCGTAAGGATTTGAGTGTCTCTGACAGGGGCCAAATAGTGATGTATCGACGACTGGGTCAGAGCATCTCCAAAATTGCAGCTAGTGTGTGGTGTTCTTGGTCTGCACTGGTCAGTACCTATCAAACGTGATCCAAGAAAGGTGACGTGGTGACAGGGTCATGGGGAGCCAAGGCTCATTGATGCACGTAGGGAGCAAAGGCTGGCCCATGTGGTCTGATCCAACAGGCGAGCTACTGTAGATCAAGTTGCTGAAAAAGGTAACGCTGGTTCTGATAGAAAGGTGTGAGAACATACAGGGCATCACAGTTTGTTGTGTATGGGGCTGTGTAGCTGCCGAACAGTCAGGGTGCCCACACACTTAAAAACTCCTAGGTTAAAAAGGGACCAACTAATTACTGGGTTATTCTTTTTGACCCAACATCTGGGTTAAATACCTGACCCAAATGTTGGGTTAAAAAACCCAATGTTGTAGTTAATATAGCCCAACTTCTGGGTCAAAAGAACAACCCCAATATCTGGGTTGAAATAACCCAGAAATTTGTCGGTCCCTTTTTAACCCAGGAGTTGGGTCAAAAATAACTTAACTTTGTTTTACATTATATCTGTCACAGTGTGGTGCAGGCAGAAGAAGAGGAGTCCAAACTTCTAATTCAAACATTTTACTAATAAAGTAACTCCAAAAGGTACAGACAAGCAGGATGAACACACACTAAACAAGACTGTAAAGTAGAATGGCCAAAGACTGAAGGAACTAAATACTAACACAGATGAACATTGATTAACAGAATACAGGTGATGCAGATGAACTAAATGACAAAAACCATGGAAACAGATGAGTGGCTGGAAAACAGAACAAAGGAAGACATGTGACTTCAAGCACTTTTACATTTTTATTGCATTAAATTAAACTCTATATAAAAAATAGAAAAATAAACAACTCAAACATTCAATAACTGGATTGAATTTAAGGCTTAAAGTCTTCAAACATTGGTTGTGTCATGGCATGTGTGACTTTACACAGACTTTAAAGTAGTTAGATGTACATGGCAACCACAGAATTACCACAGCTAATGCTAGTCTAAATGTAGCAACTAAGCATGGTAATTTTTTCAGCAAATGGTGCTAAACTAGCAACGGGGACATAGGCACAAAAGTTTACGTTACATCAACACTGAAAATACTTGCTTACCTTGAATACACAACGAAGTTGCACCGAAGAAGCACATGCCAAAACGGATTGAGTGCGAAGTGACAGTTATTTCAAATGACTGTTGTGAGAAAATTCCAGGGTTAGGGGTGGTTGCTATACATTCATGCCAATAAAGCTCATTTGAATTTGAGAGAGAGAAAGCCAACCCTTTAACCCAGAACATGGGTTACTCTTTGAAAAACAACCCAGAAACCCAAACAACCCAGGAATTGGGTCAAAATATTAGCCCTATAACCCAGAAAATGGTTACTCTCTGAAAAAATAACCCATAATTTTAACCCAACACAAATAACCCAGAAAATGGGTTGAAGAAATAACCCAGGAGTTTTTAGTGTGCATTCTTACCCCTGTCCTCTGCTGAAAGTGCCTACAACAGGCATCAGAACTGGACTACAGAGCAATAGTAGAAGGTGGCCTGGTCTGATGAATCATGTTTTCATTTACATCATGTTGATGGCCAGGTGCGTGTACGTTGCTTACCTGGAGAACACATGGCACCAGGATGCACTATGGAAAGAAGGCAACCCGGCGGAGGCGGTGTGATGCTTTGGGCAATGTGGATGTTACTTTGACACATACCACCCAACTAAGCATTGTAGCAGACCATATACACCCGTTCATGGAAACGGAATTCCCTGATGGCAGTAGCCTCTTTCAGCAGGATAGGATGCGCCCTGCCACAAAGTAAAAATGGTTCATGGAAAGTTTTGTGCATGTCCATCAGACATTAATGAGAGGGAAAGATGGTTTTGTCAAGTGTAGGATAGGAAATTAAGTCCTCCTTGATTACTGCAATTTTCTAAAGCATCCAAACTCGTGGGGTCTATTTTTAGTTTAATTGCCCTTAATTATAAGTTTTGTTTCCACAAATGCATCTGCTGTGACACATTTAGGGTATATTAAAATACTTAAACTGTGCATGAATTGATTTAATTCTCTATTTATAATTGCAATTGTCATTTTCATTGATACAGTATCTGTTTAATTCAAACTCAGATACACCCCCTGATTATTATTTAACCATCACAGATTGATGTCTCATAAACACTGATATTGATGTGGGTTTTTGTTTATACATTTTTATTATTATTTTATTTCATTTGTTGCAATAAAAGATGGACTTCACGCGACAATTTTTTTATTGAAAAAGCTACAGTATTAATTATCCACCAATGTTTCGCACAGTGTTGCCTAGTTTAACAGCAATAGTAATTAACAATGTCTGATCCTCAGCATCTCTTACGTATTACAGAGGTTATCTAAGCAGAGGTCTATACTGCACAGATGATGTCTTGCATTGAAGATATTGCACAAACTACCGGAACAATGCAAAATGTGTTGGCTTGTATCTTCCCTGCACCTGTAAACCTGTGTTCATTTGTAAATTCTTTCATTAGCAATACTGATATGCCATCTTTGGTGGAAAGCAGCAATGTAATGCCATGGTGTATCAGAGTTATTCTGGCTCAGTTATTATTCAATCTTTTGAAGTGCTTTTGATTATTTTCACCTCGAACATTTGATGCAAACACACACAGGTTTCTATCTTGTTTTGCTGGCTTTACAAATTTGCTGAAAACCCATGCCACATTTTCTTAGAAGCTATTGCTAAGTTTTAATGTAAAAAGCTTTGCCTTGCTTTAAATTAACCATTTTTTATGATTGAATATTATAGCTAAAATGCTTTGTGCTTGCTTGAAGCAGTACATAAGCCAGCAGAACACTACTGCTGGCTTATGGTTATTGTCAGGAAGATGAACAAGAATTGCTGTTTCTGTCCACACACAAGTCAGTTAGCGGTTCACCTCTACATCACAAATACACAGTGTGGTTGAACTGGACATGTTTGAGGTTTGTCTTGCTGGTATTGTTCTGTTCTGTGTGCATCTTCTTGCTACAACAGCAGCTTTTGCTCACAGCTAACCTTGGATCAGTGAAGCATTGCTGACATTACCGTTCCTAAGCAATTTATGTTCTGCCGCATTTTGGAGATTGCTAAATCTATTCTTTCTTTTTGCAGATTCTTGAGAGGAATGCAGGAGAAATTGACTAAACCGTATTATTTCCAAACTGTGGATGACAGTATGAAGGTGTGAGAGCAGCGTGATGAGCCAACAGAGTATCAGAAGATAGGTAAAAGAGAGGTCAGAAGTTAACATCTCCTTGGCTCCAGCTCTTTCTACTGTGCAGTTTCCTCTCTTTACATAGGAAACTAATGTGTCTCTGTCTCTGAGTCTCTGTCTGTACCTTTTCTTACTGGCAGAACTCTGGGTTGCCAGTTTTGTCTGTGTCCACCAGTCTCAATGGCCAGGCTCAGTGGTCAGAATATCTTTGACAGTTGCTCAAAGTGCCAAGTTAATTTCCTCAGTATGGGGCAGGTCAGTGCTAAATAACTATGTTTACGTTACTGTTTGTATGAAAGGTCCAATGTTTTCCTTCTCTTTGGCTGTGATTTGTTTGGTCCAGTTTGTGTGAGGTCTGTGTTTAGGCGGTGCACCGTTGATGAGCTAACTGAAAGGACTTCTCTCCATTTTCTTCTGTGTGTAGCTTTGTAATGGTTGGAGCTTGGCTCATTGGCTTTAAGGTGTTTTGTTGAATAGTATTACTCTTCTTTGGATCCTAATTAAAATTCGAAATTAGTCTGTTCCAGCGCTGCATCGTTTGTGTATTGTGTTTCTGTGAAGGATATTCTTACCAATTTCAGTTTGAAGGGTCGCACTTGGATGTTAATCCCATTTTCAATTGCCTTGTTTTAGTGTCCACTCACATCACTATCATATACTAAAATTAATTCAGGTATGGATTTGAATATTTGTAGCCCAGTTCAGGTTTGGTTGTTTCATGGCACAGAAGAGACCATCTTCCTTTGTTTCTGAAAGCTTTCAAGATGGAAAGGCCCATAGATGTAATTTGTGTTCCTTATTATGTATAGTACTGCTATTTGTTTGTACAGTATCAGTGTAGCTCAGTAAAACCCTATTTGGATTTCACTGACATTTCACAATCTTGTTCCTTGTCAGAATATCTGTAAAATGCATCTATTGTTGTGATGCTTCTTTAGATTTGGCCAGCAACATTAGATAATCAGCAAAGAGAAGTCATTCATTGAAACTTTAACAGACGGAGATCTGGGATATCTGACGGGGATGAAGGGGGGAAGGTGTGGTTTGTTGTTCGATAATTTGATTTTAAACCTGTCTGACTTTTGCAGTTGGGTGTCACGGATGCTTAAGAATAATTTGTGAATTTCCCCACAGGGATCAGTAAACTCTTACCTTATTTTTAACTATAATCACACATCATCATTTATTTGTTAATTATATTTCCTGTAATTAGTCTGAAGGTGCAAAGTAACTATTAATTTAAGTTATCAGTGAAATAAAGTGGCGTAAGAAGTGCAATATTTGCCTCTGAATGAAGTGTAGTAGAAGTATTTGGTAGCAGAAAATGGAAACCCCAAGTACAATATTTGAGTAAATGTAGACTACTGTGTAATCCTTTGCTCTAGATATTATGTGCCCAACATTTAAGATTAAAGGAGAACACATCAGAGTCTGTTTACAGGTCTCGGGGAGAATTGCAATGTGAAAAAAGTTGTATAAAGCCTTTTGTGGCTCCAGAAGGAGCTGTGTGGAATCTTATCAGTAGCCAAATGTCATTCAAATGGCCGTTCCTTATCTCTGCTTGAGGCTAAGGTTACTTGCATAACACACCCGAAACTCACTGTTGACAGTCAAGTTGCATTGTGGTTATTGGGCAAGGTTTTGACGAGGAAGAAGAATGCATGGAATAGAAAATGATATTTGTGGTTCTGCTGCATCGATTTTTCCTTTTTAACTGCCCATCGTAAGCCTGAAAATGTTATGGGAATGCAATGTGAAATTGGTGGAGGGCTCTCTTAACATTAAATAAGTTACACATTGTGTTGGCGAATTTGTGCATTTTGTGTTTTACCATACCAATCAATGTTGCTGGCCTCCCTAGTTTTAGAGCCTGAATTTTGGTTGCTACTCTTTGACTCCTCCACTCTCCCTCTGAGAAGATGCCTCATTCAGAAACATGAAATGCAAAACATTGTCCAGTTCCAAGAAGTTGGATGAACTTCATTTAAACATGATTTGCATAAAAGCTTAGAGCATCTGGCCCATGTGTTAAAAACAAGTGCTTGCTTTTAATCCATAAGAAATCAGAATTGGATTTCTATTTGTTTGTATTTTTGAGATAACATCTATGGTGGATCAACAAAAAAAAATCTGAAGTTGTTCATCTGACAACCTGGAAAAAAGAACCCCATTTTAGTATTGTTTGTCAAAAATAACTCTGCCTCTCAGGCAAACCTAGCCAGTTCTGCAGTACGGCACACAGAGGAAGAAAACAGTGTCGGTCATACATATTGACCTCTAGCCATCAATTCTCACCAGAATTCTGTGTCAAGCGCAGTCTGGCAGAAGAACACACGTGGGTCAGAAAGGTTGGTTACTTGAAATTAAGTTCTTTGCAAATGCCAAAATCTTTGGCACTCATTATAGCAGAAATTGCATAGTTATTCTGGTTCGGTCAAGAGCATGTTAAAGGCAAGTTATTCTGTGAAAACATCTTCATTCAGTGAGTAATGTGTAATGATCAGGGCTAGTGAGCAGGGCATTTATGGGCTGTGATTCTCAAAGAAAACTTTTACCAGTGTAATTATATAATTAAATAAATGAAGACAAAATGTCATGGTAAAACATGATGGGCTTGAGAAAGAGTGTGTGTGTTTTCAAGAGAGAAAACTGACATTTTTAGAAAACAATACTACACTGTTGTTGTGGATAGATGGCTAGGAACCTGAACGACTTACAATGACTTGTTGAGGGACTAAGTACTGTGTTCTGCATGTGACAGCTGATGCCAGTTCCAGTTTAAATATGTGGAGTTGTTGAAAGTGTTAACAGATGTCAGGAGGTCGGTTGCGGTGTGGTGGATTGCAAACAGGTGTTTGTGCTTGTCTAGATTGCAGCATGATATGCTACTTTCACAGCACTTGCCACTGACAATTACTCTAAGAGAGAATGAACTTCGAGGTGTACATACTGCCACCCAGTGTAGTGAATAGGAAAACCATCTCAGTAATAACACGCTGGTCAGAGAGTCCTTTATGCCTTGTATTCATGGATGAGTGCTGATAAGGTTGGACTGCTCTGGTTGGGAAATTAAAATTCGCCAGCCAAATAGCTGCCACCTTCTAGCATTTTCGTTACTACTGTTGGGCTTATCAGCCTTTTTCAACAGATGTTGTGACTTGTCAACTGATGTTATTATTAGTTACAAGAGTAACTAATAATATTAATGATACCTCAGTTCCATTTATGTCCTCCATTGAGACAACAGTCTTTGACATTTCCTGTTATATTACTGAGCCCTAATTATAATTCACTGTTTTCTCAAACAGTAGGAAAAGCACAGGTGATAATCATAACATTAATGATGCCTCAATTCAGTTTAGCGGCTTCAGTTTCAGGGTCCTAATATTGGGCATGCTGTCATGAGTCAGGTATCCATCCATATGTAGCGCAGATGTCAACAGAATTTCCAGAAAATCTGAAAAAGAAAATGTGAAATAATAGCTTCAGGGGTGAGAAGCCCTTTTTGTTGACCTTTTTGTCCTGTCTATGTTTGGTAGGTAGGTAAAATACCCACTATTTTCTTTTGTGTATGATAGGGATGTAAGTTGTTGATTGTTTAATTTATTGTTCTGGCTGGGATCTCACAGACACTAGCATGATTGATATAATAATAATAAATAATTTCTGCTTGGAATGCATCTGCTGTTGTCCACTGGTTTCAATCTACTACTGTTAGTCAAATAATAGGTTTATCATTGAGATAAACAGCTGTCGGGACAAATTTTCCGGGTGGGTGCCATTAAACCATGAGCGCGGAACATCAAAGCTCGAACACAGTAAAACCATGTAGAAAACGTGATGGAAAAATGCCTTTTATGTTTTTTTCATGTATTCATGTGAGTAACAAACAGTCTTGCCTGCTTCAGTATTAAGTCTCTTCAGTGGAAGCTTGAGTGACAAATCACATGCCTCATGTACGTCATGATTAATGCCTGATTAAGACTGCCTCCATTGCACCTTGCCGTATTTTGTTTTAATGGATACACTAACACCAAAAACCTTTTTTGCAATATTTTAATTTGTTTTTTGAATTTTCAATGTTTCCACTCAGGCTTTTAATGCACAGTTTGAAAATGTGCAAAAAACTGGTGGATGGAAATGCACTCACTTACTAAGACACTTGAATAGAACATGGCCATCATTAACGTACTACCACCTGTGCTTTTCGTACTATCACAAGTCTAAATGTCTCTGAGTCATCTCTGCTCCATTTCTCAGTAACTGAGCTGAAACATTACAATATTTTGCAAGACACAAGTCTGACAATTTGGGGTCCAGTTTCTTGCTCTTGGACACCTGGGTCATCAACCCTACAATCATTGGCCGTTCATCTGAAGTGCTGAATCACAAATTTCTTTCATATTATATTAGCTTGGCATACAATTCTAGTCACAAAGTCAATAAATATGTTTTTTTCAACTTTTTATTGTCATTAAAGGTTTTCAAAAATCAGATCAGAAAACAAAGATAGTAAAACAACAAACATCTATATATGTTAAATACATTCTAAAAATATGGCTGGAGGCTCTCAGGATGCATAGGTGACCAAGCCTTTTAGACTTTGCTTTCTAAAATATTTCTGTATTAATTGCAAATTGCACACAACACAAAACCATTGGTTTAGACATTACATTTGAACTATTGCAGATTAAGTTTATTCCTGGGAAATAACTGACAAAACTCTACAGGATAAAAACAGGTTAAGGTTGTCCTCTGTGCTGCACACTAACATCTTTACCAGGTATGGGCAGCTTGTGCCCCTAGCGATTTGATGGGTGTCCGAAGTATGTAATCGATTCAGTAAGTCATGTGAGAGATTGAATTAAAATACAAAAAGTACCCCCTTACGGCTGTGGTGGTAAAGGTTTACTAGAGGCTACTGCTTACATTTTACAAAAGCAGTGTTGGGTAACTTAGTGGAACACAAATACAGTTGTTTGCTGTTATATCCAGAGTTAAATGAGAAGATTCATATCAGT